GCGCCATCTTTTTAGCTCACGTTCTCTTCCCGCGCGTCTTAATCGGGTGAGATCGTAATAAATCTCTTTATTATGTTGACTACAATTTTCATGTCAGGCGAGTAAACCATAATCATATGCCGTGTTTAACGTTAAACACACCATGATAACCAGCCATTAGCTTTTACAACCCGCATTCGCGCTGTATTCATCGTGGAAGTTGAGATAACTCCGGCGGGTTTATTTTAAATATCAAAGCTTCTAAATATTTATACTGAAGGGCGACGGAGGAGGAGGGGAAACCTGTTAAATTATGATAAATGCATTTGAAAAAAACACATTTAACGGATGCGGGTATACTTAAGCGCGAAAAAATAAACGGCGAATAAATTACAGGCGCCGTTTTTTCATCCGCCGTTTTTACTCATCTGCTCTCTGCCTGTATAACTTTCATATTCGAATGGCCCTTAAAATTTTTATTGAAGTCATAAACATTACCTCTCTCGCGCTTCTCCGCCCTGTGAAAATCCCCCCTGGGCGTACGGAGGAATTCTCGGCAGGTCTCAGACTCAATCTCTGGCAACGCATACACATCGCATGCATACGTGCGAGAACTGCATGCAGCCCTGACTCCATTTCTTGTCGTGTTTTGGGGGGGTTTCGTGACGTGGATAAAAGTTTGCGAAAGGCGCTCGATAACGTAACAAACAATGGACGATGCTTGGACGAGCAGACGAGATGAGAAACGAGGACTTTGGGGGACTCTTAAAAAGACTCCGGCGGCCTTTTTATAGTTCCCGAAGGGAAAGAATCCCCGTTTAATCGGTTACAGATTACAAGCCGATCGACAAGACTAAACGCTAAACGTCGCGTTGTCGTCCAATATTTTTGATCGATCGATCGACGAGCTGTGACGTTAAAGATTTACAAGCAAATAACGTATATTATTGTATATTTCAACAACATTCAATATGCAGCGCGATATATTATAATACATATCTCGCGCACGTTATGTTCTTTTACATTTTCGAACGTAATATTTTATGTGCAAATATCACCAATAGAATATATGAAATATAAATAAAGGTAATTTTGAAGAAATTGCAATAAATGTGTAATAATGTATAGCCGCGCGCTCTAAAATAAAAAGCGGCTATTATAAATGTAATGGCAATATATGTGCCAAATAGGTTATTAATAAAATGTCAAAGTAATTATCTGTCGTATTATTATCTATGACATAAAATAAAAGCTTCCGCTAGAGTATAAAACGAACTTTTTCAGAAAAGTTTCGAAGAGCGATTCGAGTATACGCTTAACCGACACGTTTTTCAAATTTCAATTCGCGAAATATCGGCGCCGTTTTCCACGTCAATAACGAGCAAATTATGATTGCTATGGCTAAGATGGAACGAATCGAATAAAATAACCGTTCGAGCTATAGCCGATCCAGAAGATTATAAGATAAGTCTGTCCGTAGTTTCGTTCTCTTCGTATTAAGTCTGTTCTCTTCGAGCAATTTAAAGATTATTTCCTTGACGGACGTAAAATGCACGTCTACCTTCTCTTTTCTATTTTTGCCGTAATATTTAAATTACTAATTTTATATTACTATCTGACCGATCTTGCCGATTTCGAACTTTTGAAAATGTTAGATACTTGAAAGTCCAAGTTTTAACAAAAAGTAAAAGTATAGATCGGAAATTCGAGATTCCAAGGACCCGAACTTACGAGAAGCGCTTCAAGAATGTCAAATTCAAAAGATTCAAGTTCGTAAATATGTTAAGAATCAAATATCTCAGCGCGTAACAAATTCGGAATTCACTGACGTAGAGTCTAGTCAAAGATCGAATATAAAAAGAAAACGGAATACTTGAAAAGCAAAATGGCAACACATCCGGAAACCAATAGTGTACTCCACATCAATCAGTTATTTTTTTGTCGACGAGATATTGAAGGGAAATATTACGAGATGTAGCGCGTATGTTTCTCGCTTACTCTCCGTGTACTCTCGAGAACCGCAGCAAAGAATTACTAACATCGTAAGGAGACATAGGAAATAAAGTAAGTAATTCGATTTAGAGTAATATATACTGTAAAAGAATTTTATTTATTTAATTCCACTCTCTCCCTGGATGCTCCTTTAAAAATGCTTTCCTTCTGCTCTTTCCATCCTTGTCCGTCTTTGCCAACTTTAATGGCAAGCATTGCAGCTGACCTGAAATCAAATTGAATATTTTTCTACGTCAGTAAATCTTTTGGTGTTTTTGCTCTCCACCCCTTTGCGACTACATTCGATCTCCTTTGAATCTTTTCAATCACAGAGTAAAATTCGAGTCTTCAGTAACACGTGCATTTCGACGCAAACATATTGATTAATTTCCTTGAGATTTCTACCAAAATATACGAGAAATTGTAAACGAAATAGGATCTAATTATATTTTTATATTGTTACGTTTATAATTTACAGAGGTAAACGAAAGAAGGCTTCACATAGGCATTCTTAAAAAAAATATTTTAACGAGTATGCAAAATAAAGATTTGCTTAATGGCTTGAAAACAGGTATTTTTAATTTTCGTTAAGATGGCTTAAAGGTAAATAAGGCTTAAAAAGTAAATATATTTAGGAACCTGAATGATCTCGATTGCTGTCGTCACGACGGCAGTTAATAGACATGCAGATTTCCTAAACAGGTTTCAGCGGGATCTGTGTTAAAGGAGGAATTACTGTCGGATAAATCAAGCAGGGATTTTGATCTCGCAGGCAGGACGAGGGAACGAGGGAAAGAAATGAGAAGTAAAGTACGAGAAATGGGAGAGAAGAAAAAAGAGAGAGCACGCATTACGACTTGGCGCCGTATCAGGGCACTCTCAGATTTTTCACCAACCTCGAGAACAAAAACGCGTCTTGATTAAGAACGTCTTAATTAAGGGCATTTCTCTTGTTCGGTTATCCTCATACGCGGTCATTTTAATTTAACATTCACTTATCGATTTATTGTAAGTCGATACGAAACTAATACGCGAGCAATCTAACTTTTATTTAACCTCTGTGAGCTTTTATCATATTTTTACAATATTTTAATTATGACACACGCGCCGGTCATCATATCTTTATCTTGTTTCGGGTATGTAGGATACATACGCGGGTGTCATAAAATGCGGGTGTCCTTTCTCTAAATGTGACCAGTCGAGTTAGATAAAACATGAACAGTTGCGTTAAGTAAAATTAATATATGAGAGAAGCTGTGCGCTGTGAAATATCTTGCTTCACATTCGTAATAGTAATATTAACTTTTCCCCTTTTCCCTTCCATATATATTAAATTGTTGGGTCTATAATAAAACGTGACAGTTGTCAAAGATTTTTTTTTAAAGATATCTTATACAATATGTATATGCATACGTATATGCTCTTGGTGTTAAATATAACAAATATAATATCTGACGCGATATCGCATTTATCGATCAGCGACTAATTAAGATTGACAGCGTCGATTCGAAATTTACGGCTAATTATATAGCTTAAAAGAACGCGAAGATTTATCGAATAATTATCTTAAGTGGCAGCTCGTACCGGTTTAAATATATGCGAGCGGTCTTGATAAAATATAAATATTTACGAGGCTGCATAATTTTATTACCGTTTGCCACGATAGCAAACGTTCCGTCTCTTAATATAATCTGAGATGCATAGCACGCCTTGAGAGTTTGAAGCTGAGACGTTAGTATCTCGGTAACAGAAAGTCACATTTACGACTATGAACGACTAGGAACCGACCGAAAAAGCTTACGGCTTCCGGTGTGTTGTGTGCTACACAATGCTGCAAACGGCATCGATTATCGCATACGAGGCAAGGAAAATTGGGCAAATAACGTTTCTCACATTCAGCCGGATCATGACCGATAAAGCTCAGCAATTTCTTCATGTAGGAGGAAAACGGCGTCTCGTGACCGACGACGTGGGAAAGGAGGGGGAGGGGGGGGGCGGATGGGAAAAGCGAGTAGCAAGTCGACGGAAAAACAGATACGACCGAGCTCGTTTCCTTTATCTGCTCCGAGGAACTTCCTCGCGGCACCTCTCTTCCTCTCCTTCCTCGTATATTTATACGAATCCTTAATATTCTCTCTCAACGATGTGCACGCCGCACATACTGCAAATACACGTGCAAGGCTCTTATTGTTAGATCCTTGAATTACAGGGACCT